TCCCCAAGAGAACAAACACCCCACGCGGCCCCCCCGCCCTCCGCGGAAGGATCTGAGCCTCTTCCCAGGCCACTGGTGGCCAATCCCAGCCCTCCCCGGGAGGGGCCCCTTCTAAAGCCACAATCTGTTGGGGGAGCCAGGAATGCCAGGTCCGGGAGGGGCCAGCCCCAAAAGATGAAAGTCGCGACTTGCCCTGCCCCGCCCCAAAGGCTTCCCGGGTAGTGTGCTGGGACTTGACCCGCCTCCCCAGGTCAACATGTCACAACACGACCTCGAGCCTGTCAAGTCACATGACCTTTGCCTGTCACTGACAACCTGGTCATGTCTTTGGGCCAGGAGAGACCATCTGGTCTAAACCACCCCCCACTCCCATTTACAGAAGGGGAAATGGAGGTCTGGAGCAACGCAGCGCAGGCCTGGCCAAGGACCTGTCACTGTCACACCACCACCGATACCTGTCTTCCAGCCACAACCGACCTTGTGACAGATTCTACTGAACCCTGGCTGCCCCCACGAGGGTATGACAGTATATGTAACCGGACGCCACATGGCATCTTTTTTCTACCTAATGGCACAAGAAAAATACTTCGCATTTTAAATGGTGCTTTTCACTTTTGTTCAGGCTGCCTCCAAGTTCATGGTTCTCTCATTTTACCTTCACAACTCATTATCTTTTATTTACAAATAAGAACGGTTGAGGCACACACTTAGGTGACTGGCCTGGGATCCCTGGGCAAGTGAGGAGCAGCTGAGGCTAGAATCTGGGCTGCTGACAACCCAGTCGAAAGCAGTTGTGCGCTCAAGTGCATGCAATGTCCTACGCGAAAGGCTCTAACGCAGCCCAAGGCACCTCCGCGGCAGGAGGCTAGTGCAAGGCTCCTCACACCAGGGAGTCACAGGACTTGGGCATCTGGTACAGTGAAAAGGGCGGGTCTTGAGCTTTCGTGAAGAGCGCCAGGGCACCGTGGGGGAATGATAAGTGGGGAAAACAGAATCGGCTCGACTGGTCAAAGGACACGAATCCTGGCATGCTGGGGGCCCATCAGAAACTACAAAGATAAAAGTTAAGGGTGCTGTTCTGAAAGGAGCTGAAAATGACAAGCAAAAGTATTCAAGTTCCTCGGCCTCTTCTGGGGGAGTTGGGGGCTAAAAGAGAAGACCTTTTTAAGAAGACGTTAGGCAGTCCTGTAGGCTGGATGCAAACTTTCAAAAGCGGTTGGTTTAAAAGGCCTTGTGTCCATTAACTGGGAGGGGACCAAGCAAAATGGGAGTCTCTTATGGAGAAGGTGAAACGGGGGCTAATGCCAGGTGGGCGGAATCAAAGCTCTTGAGGGAGACAAGCTGCAGTGAGGCTTCTCAGGCAGCCTGGGGGCAGCCACGGTTGATAGCCGTTGGGGCCGTTGGGAGCCGGGCCCTGGCGCCCCGCCCTCTCTTCTCCCCTACACCACCCCCCTACCCTGCACCTCCCACCACCCTTGTAGTCCCCTGCGCGTGCGCGCGAAGACACCGGTTGCCAAACATTGCATCATCCCCGCCCCCCTTTCCTCCCCTCCCCCTCCAGCTCTCCCCTCCGCGCGCGCGCATGACTCACTCACCTCCTCCGCGAAGCCTCGTGACCCAAAGCCACTTCCGGGTCCAACACAACGTCTACCCCCAAGCCGGAGGGAGCCATGGGGGCGGGGCCGCGGGAGCTTCTGAGTGGCGGATGTAAGGGATGAGGCGGGGTCGACGCCGGCGTGCCGCGCCCTGATTGGTAAGCTTCTGGATCCGCCCCTGAGAGGAGGGCAAGGCCTTATTAAAAGATCGGCGCTCCCAGCTACCGAGGTCAGAGGCTTGAGTCTAAGGCTTAGAGCATATCATGTTGAAGATGAGCGGGTGGCAGCAGCAAAGCCAAAATCAGAGCCGGAACCTGAGGAGAGAGGCGAGTACTGATCCCTTATCTACCCTTTACCTTCCGAAATTCGGGAACACCAGTTGTCCCCTCCGAGTCAGGCATTTGTTTTTAGGATGTGGCCCCACCCCCTCCTCGATGAAATTAGTGACAGTCCGAGGGAGGGATGGGGAGAATCCTTTATTCGGAGTGGTGCTTGCAGACCTCTCTTCCTTCGGATGATAGCGTCACCCTACCCCTGCCCGGAGCGTGGGTCCTGCTCTGTGCTCCTGGTCGAAGGGGTCTGGATGCCCTCGGGAGATTTATTTTATGTTGCTGACCCCCGGCCTCTTTAGGCCTGTACGGTGAGAGGCGAGGCAGCAGGACACTCCCCCACGCTAAGACGCCTGGGTGACCATGGCTCACGCCTCTGCCACCGCCTTACGGTCAGCGGCACTACCCCTACCCCACCCCCAATCCTTCTCAGCCCCAGCGTCTCAGGGCCAGAGTGGCCACGTCGGTAGCCGGCGCTCCTGGATCCTCCACAGGATAGCCATTCCGCGCCCTAACAGAAAATTGAACCTTAAGGAAACTGACTCAAGGCTTTTGGGAGGAGGGGTACCGGTGGACAACAGGGATTGGAGATAGGTTTTCACATTCCCCCAGAAGTCTCTGGGCCTCCCGCACAAGAGAGCATCCTGGACCTCTTAAGTGTGGGAAGCCATTTGGGACCTCTCCAGTATACTATCTTTCCCCTGAGATTGGTCCCTGCCTCTTTCCCTCTGTCCTGTCTCCATACTAATCTCTGTGTAACCATTGCATCAGGCCAGCCCCGTTTGGCTCTGCAGCCCTCTGGCCTGGGGCTCCACTGCTGATGAAAGCTGCAGCCCACACACTGGAAGGCAAGGAGGGTTCCCCAGGGAGGACAGCCCTGAAGAGAAACACTCTGGGTGATATTGCACCTCCAGTCCCCAGGGACAGGCAGCTACTGCTCTGCCTCTGGGCTTCCTCCTCCCTTCCCTGTGAGAGACTGGAAAGAATTTATCCATTCATTCCTAACAAATATTTAACACATACCTGCTACATGCCGTGCATTTTGGGGCCCAGATATATCCGTGAACAAGAAAAAAAAAATCTCTGCTCTCACAGAGCTGATATTTCAGTGGGAAAAGGCATACCACAAACATATGTTAAGTGCCATGGAGAAAACTAAAGCATGGAAAAGTAGAGAATGCTCAGGGTGGGGGGGTTAGTTTTACATTGGGTGGTTAGGGATTCTCTCACTGAAGTGACTTCTAAATGTAAGATCTAAAAAGAGGCAAGGCAGTAAGCCAGGCAAATATGTGGAAGGAAGAGCTTTCCAGAAGAACAGCAAGAACAGAGGTCCTAAGGTGGGAGCATGCAGTCTCTTTGTGGGACAGGAAGCCAGTTTGGC